GATTTTCTACAATAAGCTATCCAAGCTTTAAGTGTTAAACTGTAAAAAATTGACCAATCATAGTCAATTATTCTTTTCACATTTGACTGTGATTGGTCAATTTCTTACGATTACTTAAGACTTGAAGCTTTAATGTCTTATTGTAGAAAGCCTATAATGGCATATATTATAAAAATTCTCTTAGAAAACGAACCAATCAAAGTCCTTCATTTCTTTTCCTTTCCATGAAATAAAAGACTTTTACTGATTGATTTTCTCACGCTTTATGCTTTATGCGTAATGCAAAATCTGTGCTCCTTAAAGGCTTTCTACAATAAGTCATTATCCAAGTTTTAAGTCTGAAGCTTAAGTAATTAATCAATCGTAATCGATGTGAGAAAAATAATCGATTATGATTGATCAATTTCTTATGACTTATTGTAGAAAGTCTATTACGAATCGAAGAAAGGAGGGAGAATCGACGTTTTCTCGACGCGGTCGCCGCTGCGATGCTCACCTGTTTGCTGTCGGCGCCGCTGTTCAGCGGTGAGCTTTGGCTGATCGAATCGGCGGCGCCAGCGGCAAAATTAGCCGGAGCAATCTCGATGTTCGAACTTTGCTCTGCGGCGATGACGGCGACGGCGGCAACGGCGACGTTATTATTGTCGTCGTTATTATTGTTGCTGTTGCTGCTACCGGACGTCGATACGGCGTTGACGGTCTCTATATCGATAACTACATCGGCAGCAGCGGCGGCAGCGACGGCAGCGACGGCGGCGTCGGCGGCACGGTCGCTTTCAGCGATTTTGTCAGGAGCTACCGGTTCCTGACGATGTTCCGGCCCTGGGGCCATCTTGATCGAGATTGACAGCGCGGTGTCCGCCGTGCTCATGGCTCCCTCGTCATCTCTCTCCTCTTTTCTCTTTATCCTTCAAGGGTCATGAAGCCGCGAAAGGACTATTCGCGTACCGATCAACGATCCGTACCGCATTGAAGACGCTGCGTTCGGAAATACAATGGCCAAAGAAGACGCTGTATTCTCGCGGTTAGACGAGCGCGAAGCACGCTTAGACGACGACGTCGAGGTCGAATTCAAGGATTGTTTCACCAATGCAGACTTACGTAGATCGCTAAGCTTTCTAATAGTTTAATCGAATTTATTTTATTCAGTTTTCCTTCTCTTTGTACCTTTTTGAATAGAGACAACCGCGACTTAGAAAAGAATCAGCTAATCCAAGTGTTGACCGAAATAAGGATTAGCTGTCAATTTTTGGATTCAGTTGGAAAGAGTCATAATCCTCTAAAAAATATTCAGACTAGAAAAGAACGAGAGAGAGAAAGAGAGAGAGAGAGAGAGAGAGAGAGAGAGAGAAAGAGAGAGAGAGAGAAAGAGAGAGGTCCTTGAACGGGAAACAAACGAAATCCAGAAAGGAACTTGGATCGAAGATGATTTCCGGGAGGCTACTCCGGGATTTAACACGCGCGCACGATTCCTCGGTGCAACGCGGTGCGGAGTTTCCGCGAAATCCTCGCACTCGATTCCGCACACGCGCGCGCACCTGACGGAGAAAGATGGCCCCGGTGAGTTCCTCGCGGCGATTGATCCTCCTAGAGAATCCAACTACGAGATTCCTCGCGGAGTCTCGTATCGCATTTTTCGTCCAGGAGACTGAATGACACTCCGATTCGCGCAGCTCCGTCGATAGATGCGCCCGACGTCGAGGACGCGTCGTTTGACGGCCGACCTCGCGCGAATTTGAGGTTAGCCCCGAGTCGAGCGAGCTGTCAACTGGCGCGGCGACACAGCTGTCCGTCGCGACGTCATCGATCGCATACGGCGAGCTGGCGAAACGGTGTTTGGCGATTTTTTTTTTCCTTCCTCGTCGTTGAAGCCGAAGGTGAACGCGAGAAAGGAAAATTCTTACATCACTCAGAATCAGCGATTCCTTTGCGAAGCGTCCGTTCGGGAGACAACTTACGTAAACGCGACACCACTCTGGCGGTCACATGTCAAATTTGAACGATCGACGCGTCGCCAACGGGTGGATTCGACCGCGTGCCGTTTCTCGCCTTCTCCTCCTCCTCCTCTTCCTCCTCTTCTTGTTCACCACCTCCTCGTCCTCCACACTCTTTTTCTTCTGGCAACGTCGAGCGACGAGGGGGTCCAGCTTCTCAAAAGTATAGATTTTCTGAGAACGGTCGGGGCCCATTCGGTGTTGCTGCCGCTCTCGTCGGCGTTTCCTCTCGAAAGTAGAAAGCTCGGTTGGACAGTACCATTTCTAAATACAACGTCGACGACGACGACGGTGATGGTGATGATGACAATGACAGTGACGGCGCGTCGTCGCGCGAACACGAAGACCCGGCGAAGCTTCTCGAACGACGAGGAGAGTCGTGGATAGGCGCGACGTCGTCGAGGAACGGCGATACAGCGCGACACGGAGAACCGTCCAATTTTGGCGTTACGACGCGGCGATGTTGATAATCGCCGCCGCGGCGAGCACTCATCGATTCAAAATGGCCGCCGCCGCTGCGCAGGGGCAACGCGAATACACGCACGCACCACGCACGCGTTTCGCTCCGTCCGTCCGCGCGTACATACGTGCGCGACGGAACGGCGTGAGAAAGAGTCCATTCGCAGGAAGGATGTCTCGTGGAGAAAATGCTTACGCACACCAGGCGCGTCTCTACGACGCTCCCTGGCGCGCGCGTCCCACACACACACACACGCAACGCAAGTGCGTACACACTAGTGCACACGCGCGAATCTCAATCCTCGCGCGCGTCGCGTAGCCTATTTCCTTCGGCCACGCGTACCGAGAGGTCCAAGAGGTCCAAGAGGCTCGGCGAGGACGGCGAGGGAATTCGTCATCGCCGCCCGGCGTGTGACGTCGCGATTCGTCAGCGCGACACGACGGACGGTCTCACTGCGCGGATATTGTCGGCATAGTAGATACCGTTAGCTCGCTCTCTTTTTCTCTTTCTCGGCACGATGGATCGCAGACGGGATCGTCGCGCGGATCGAGGGAGAAACAGATGAAAGGAGGAATACACGGGTAGAGTCGATTTAATTCCGTGCGGAGCAACGGTGCGCCAACTGGTCGCGTCAACTGGGTCTCCCCGAGATCGGGCGCCGGGTTATCGATCGCGCGACATTGCCTTTTTCTGGGGGGGGGAGGGGGGGAGGGAAGCGACTGGCTTCTCCGCGATGCTTCGAGCGAAACGCGAAACGGAGGATTGGCTTCGAATCGAATAACGACGAGGATGATGACGACGCGCGCGGTAACCACGACGAATGTTTGTCAATGAGATTCACGGCCGTTGCAGAACTACGATCGCAGAGCTACGATTTTATGAACCGCGAGAAACGCACGATGACGCGCGGAACCGATTCGAGGGCGAGACAGTCCACCCTGAGGGAGCTTACGGACACCCTCCGCCGAGCGACGCCGTCCGCACGCGCGCGAACGATTATCACCGGGGGAAGCCGAGGGCGGACCGTCGCTTTACAATGGACTTTACACTTTCTCGTCGCGACACTATACATGCGAAATCCCCGCTTTTGCGCAGAGGAACGACGGCGGACCAGCCGCTCTGGCCTCCGAAAACGTCGTTTGATGTGCAACCGCGTGTCCGCTTCACGTAGCGCCCTGGGTGCTACTTAATACCTCGTTTTTTCGTTTTTATCAAAGAAACTTTACAAGGAAATGGAACCGACGAATTTAATTTCTTATTCTTTCTTTGTCTATTTTTTCCACACTTTTAAAAATTTCATGAAACTTAATATACTTTTAAGTTACGCAATTTGAAATTAATTTCATGACATTACATGAAATTTAATGTATTGCATTTTTCATAAATTTAATGTACACATTTATTACATTTAAGTAACTATACATTGTAATTTAATTTTCAGTTAAATCATTCTTAATTTCATTCAATCACGAGTTTTATTTATACGTAAAGGAAGCATTTTCTAACAATGCAATGTTCAACTTTAACCTCGATTTAAATCTAAATCTTCATATTTTTCTTGTTCTAAGAATTAGAAAAAATTAAGAAGAAATTGAACTGAGATTAAAGGAGAGTAATCTACATTGGTAAAAACTGACATTAAAGGCAGATCTACTAATTATCATTTTATAAGAATTTTCTAAAAATTAGAAAAAGACATTAATTAAACGATATTAAAGTAATTACATTGAATTGGTAGAAATAGACATTAATAAGAACTATATAGAACAGTTTAAAAAATTTAGAGATTTAATACAGTATAATATTGAATTCCGATGTAATCAATGATTAACTTGCAGAATTGTTTCGGCAAAATTACTATTTATTTAATTCGTCATTCTTTGATCTCTTTCCATGTCAAATAATAAGAAATTATATTAATTATCATTATATTTATATATTCTATATTTTATTAATTTTCAACTAATTAATTAAAACTTGATGTTATAAAAATATTTATATACTCATATCATTAAAATACTTAATATGAATTTAATCATTTTGTCGAATCACTCCAAGTATAGAAAATCCAAAGCAATGATATGACTTGCATTTTTCAAATATTAAAGTTTTTTATATAACTATAATGTATAACTATAATGTATAACCCTTTAAAGTAGAATAAGTATACGTTTGATATACATTTGGTAAAAATAAGAAGATAAATCGATATCATTAAATTACTTGATAACTTAATCATTTTGTCGAATCATTCGAAGTATAGAGAATGCAGGGCAATGATGATTTTTTCAAATATTAAAGATCTGTTTTTTATAGATCTGAACCATAATATATATAACATACTCTTTTTAAAATAAAATAGGTTTGATATACAATTATACATTTGGCAAAAGCAAGGAGGTAAATTCTAGTTCACAATGAGGCAATAAAAAACAAACCTCAAGTCGAATACAGGCAAAAGTGCGCGTGGCGCGTGCAAAGTTAGTCACGGCCATGGACTTTTGATGACCGGTGCAGTACGCGTCACCGCAGGTCGATACATCTCGAAGTCGCACGAATACGATACCGCTTGATGCCGACACTTTGTTCCCGTTGCTGTCGGCTGCTAGCAGTGCCAGCTGCATCCGGACGACACGACGTAACGCTCGCGATACGGAGACAGAGAGAGGAAAATCGTCCGTGCATTCACGATCTATCACGGTCCGAGTGAAGTGTCTGCAGATACGCGAGTCGACATCGAGATAATCCCTGACACGAACCGGCAGTTCTAGATAAGAGTCATTATCTCGTAGATAGATATTCCTGTGAGAAGAGTCTACGCTGGAGTACGCCGAAATGACCAAGTCAGAGAATATCTTTCTCTTTGTGCCAAATATCATCGGTAAATACCTAATCTCGAGATATTTTCCTTGTGAGATAATCACACTGACGATGCTGCGTGATGTGGAACCATTTTTATATTTGTAATACGCAGTAAGACTGGGCAGGTATCGATGCCCGCCAAGATTTAATTGAATGAGACTCAGGTGGCTGGAAAATCGGATTTTCCTTCGACGAATCGTTCCGTGTAATTCCAAGTAATTCAGTCGATGAGACGATCGTATAAGATTACAAATCATGTGGCCGTTCGACATTTTTAAGGTTGCCTTTATTGATTGAGTCAACGCCGCTATTGTTTTATATAACATTTATATCGGCCAATCAATAATAAATTTTCCTTGTATTCTTTCAAAGCAATTTCTATTTTCAGCATCTAGAAGCATAAATTTTGAATTATTTTCCAATTGATTATAATGATAAAACAGTAATTAGTCATGTTTATGTGCCAAACATGATAACAGCAGAAAATATAATTATGCATTTCAACAGGTATCGGCAGAGTGATTCTGGCATTGATTTCCTTCTACTTTATGTCCACCAACTACGTCATTGCATCATGGTGTTACGTGGTTAGCTCGTTGCTGGACGCGGTAGACGGCCATGCGGCCAGGTATTACAATCAGAGCACCAAGTTTGGTGCGATCTTGGATCAACTGACGGATAGAATCGGCACGATGTGTCTCATGGCTACGTTGTGCCAATTCTACGAACCCTATACCTTCTGGTTTCGAGTGAGCATGGCTATCGACATATCCTGCCACTGGATATATTTGCACACGTAAGAAATAACATATAATACATTTAGATTGTAATACATCAGTCTTGTCCAAGGTTTGTAATTCTAGACATTGGTTTGACATACATCAGCATTCACGCTTTTTATCTTCTTTTTCTTATCTTTATTTAAAAAAAAAAAGAAGTTAACAGGTATGAATACTGATAGGTTAAGCCATTGTACAAAATTACAAATCTTAAACAGCACTCATAGGCATAGGTATAGACTGTGCATTGATCTTATTTTCTGTGCTTTGTTGGAAACAATTGAACATATCTCTCTTCAACTATCAGCTCTCTTCAGACATCTTTTATTGCTGAGAACTAGTGTACACTTTTTAAAGTGAGATAAGTTTGTTTGATATTTGAAAGCGAGAAAGAGAATTGTAGTAGTTTAGTGCAAGAATAAAGAACAAATCTTTTAACTTGATATTTTAAAGAAAAGTGATATGCCTTCAAGTTAGTATTCCTATTATCGGAACTCTTCTTCAAATTATTTCACTCTTTTAATAGTGACAATATATCATAGAAATGCAGTTTGTTCTTATTACGCCTGAGATAGCACTGCATATATATAATAATGTATGCGACGTAAACTAGTAAAGGAATGTAATAATTGCCTTATCAAAATACATCAGGACTCTTCTGCAAGGAAAAACCAGTCACAAATTTGTCGATATGTCCGAGAATCCGATCATGAGACTGTACTACACAAATCGCATGGTACTATTCTTCATGTGCGCTGGCAACGAAGCATTCTACGCTGGTCTATACCTCCTGCATTTTACCCCAGGACCAATTTGTAAGTAATATTGCAATACCATATTTCTTTCTCAAATGTGAGAACGTATAATAACGTTTTATCTTACAGTTGCCGGTATGAGTCTGTACAATTTAATCGTGCACTTGACCTTCCCGATAGCACTTGTCAAAGCCGCTATCTCTCTATTACATGGATACGTGGCATGCATCAATCTCAGCATCATTGACGTGAAAGAACGCCAGGAGCGGCTTAAAATGAATTAAGAATCTCTCGCTCTCTCAACGCATTATTTGCTAGTCAAGTTGAATGTGATCTACGATCTTCCTATTCTATAAATTGATACACGCATGTTTATATACTTCCATATATATATTTTTAAGAAGCAGAAAGAACGTGTTTAAAAATGCGTGGTCAAAAGATGTCTCTATTTAACTTATAGATCTATCTTGTAAACTCAAATGAATGTCGTTATCACTTATATTGTCCCAGATATAATATACGGTAAAAAGCTTAATGATAACAACACTCGTCAAAAGTTACAGAATAGGCCTATTAGTTGATGTAGGAAATATTATTCTTTAAAAATAATCTGAAGAAAATGGCCAAACTCTCTTAGGATATATGTGAAATGTATACTTTTACGAAAAAGGAGAGGAATTTATTTTTAAAGCACTAATAGTGACAAAGACCAAAATATTTCGTTACTAATATGGCATAGTTTCATAGGCTGCGTTCAGCAGAAAAATAGTTTTACAACTGCTGTAAAATTTTTTAATATGATTGATCTTGCCTTTAGTTCCTCATTATAAATGCATAAACCAATCGTTAAAGAATTTTATAATTATCAAACTGGTTTTTCTGCTAAACGCAATCATGTTTTCATAATCTGCTAAAGAGCAAGGCCATAAGCCATAAAGCCTTAAACCAAGAAATTGATTAATCATAATTGAATATGAGAAAAATAATCGACTGTGATTGGTCAATTTCTTACGGCTTTTCAACTTAGGATCTCTTAAAATAAGATTGTGAACCTAGACACAATCTTTTGTAGCATATCGTTTATAGCATTTATTATACACTAGAAGAGTAAGTTATTAATGTTCTTTCAAGATTTCGGATATGTAGAAATTACAGATTCCTGTGCATCAATATTCCTTATATTTTTTTATATTTTTCCAGTAGACAGTTTAGAGGATAACATATTCCTCGTGTAACACATTCTTTCATATAGGAAAAATGATTTCGATGTATCGCAATATGTTGAATAAAACATGATTTTAACATGATTTTTTTTGCTTAAGTTTATTGCACTGAATTTTATAAATATCAAAATCAGTATATATAGGAGAACCTGTAATTGTATGAACATTATGCATACATCAGTTCTGTTCAATTTACAACATATGGTAAACAAAAATAAAATATTGAAAAAAAAACACTATAAGCATAGTAGCATCTTTTCAATTAAATATAAATATAATTGTTTGTAAAATACAAACTCAGAATAAAAGATATATTATTAATGCATCAAACGTGATAAGAGAAAAATATTCTCCATTTGTAAAGCACTGTAAAAGAAAGAATAAGGGATCGTGTGGAATATGTTACAAGGAATAATTGGCATATTTCGTATCATCGCTCGTTTCGTATTGGGAGAGCCTGGCGACGATGTCACCGCGAGGACAATGACGCGTGTGATTATACCGTAATTGAGGCATCTGCCCATAAAAACAACGTTAATTATAAAACGTGACGGATAGTTTCATAGGCGCGCGATACGTTTAACGAGCCGCATGTCCACGTATGGCACGAGGAGAAATGAACTGGAGAGCAAAAGGAAATTCGACCGCAATGACACAGCGGATGACTCCGGACAAGAAGGTGGAAACGAATGTACTAACCTCAAACTCCTCGCTCCCCCGACGTGATCAGTCATAATTTCGGCGCCATATTATCACTTCAAACACTCGCGCATATCAAGGAAATTTAGCCAACCTTTGTCAGAGAACCTTCTTCTTATCGCCGGGACCATGAAGGGTGATCGTCGTGACGTACAACCCGCGGGAACACAGCGGAGGATGTCGGTCAACGAACGTCAGGAGTTTCGAACGCGACACGCGTAGCAAAGTACAATATTTATAAAAACAGACGAGGATCCAAAGTACCGGCGCTCGTCGAGACGGCGCGATTCGACAGCGAGACGGTAGCGCCACCATCGCCGCCGTTGGCCAGCTACCGTTGCGCCGGTCGATGTCCCTTCGCGACCATTCAAATCTGCGGATAACCGCCGCTTCCTGTCACCGAACGTTTCTAATCGACGTGATAAAGCGAGCCGAACGCGCCCATCGTGATTACTTCGTTATGCTTCGTCACGCGATCTCGACGTCTCTCGCGACAAATACGTTAAAAAAAAACTAATTACTCTCCGTCTAATAAAATCTCACGTCGAGTTTTCGAATGACGAGCGAATCGAAAATAAGAAACTTCTATATTTCTCTCTTTTTCTTCTTTCTCTCTTTTTACAAAAAAAAACTTTAAATTTTAAACCGATTGAATTTGAGGTTGAGCAAAATTCAACTCTGCTCTCCATGTTTCCCCTTAGTCTCGTAATACAACGACAAGCTGTTCGCTAAAATTCAAATCTGCTCTTGAAGGATATACCAACTTTAGGTTTCCTTGGGTGTCGACAACTTTGACTTGTTGAACCGTCAAGTTGTTATACTTGTTATTTGTATCTTTCGGTTCTAAGGAATCGACAAGACCCGAGATTATCAATTCCTTCAGAAATTGATCCAACACATTCCTGGGAAAAGAGTACAGATGTTATTAGAAAATTGATCTCTTTTTTAGGCGTTTAATTTGTAGTTAGACTTAACCTGTTTCATCTAATACTGGTTAAATATTAGCTCAACTTAAGCTTGACTTAATATTGATCCAAAATATTTCCAATTTAGCAAAGCTATCATCAATAAAATACTAGGGTAGATTAATTTTAATCTTAATTCAAGTAACTCTGTCTTTTTCTGGTACTACGAATTAAAAAAAATAAAGAGTAAATTAAATTGAAATTAACCTACATCGTTAGAAATGAGTATATAACTAGTTGATATCTTAGCTTATAACTTATTACCTATTACATATATTTTGGAATTTACAGTTAAAAAGGATTGAGATATATCATTTAATATTACATATATATTAAAATCTCACCTGCAAATTGTGTATGATATAGCACTAGTTACTTCCACAAGCATCTCTTGGGTAGCTACAGACATTTTCGTTATGTCACTGTTTGTGATGGGTGGAAATGAAATAACCTGCTGCGATTGGTCCAACAGACATGGAAATAAAGGTTTGCCTTCCAGCAGATATAAATACTTGTGTATTCCAGAATACACATTTCGTTTCTTCTCTTTACGTAGAGCCTCAGCTTCCATCTGCAACTTCTGGAACAGATCCGCGCCTGTGTATATCTTGTTGTACATTAGAGGCTTTATTTTCAATTCTGTAGGCACCTCCGCCGTATATGTGAGATCTCCTACAAGTAACAAAGTATGTTTTAATAAAATATTAATGCACAAATAATACTCTTATTAAATACTCGATATCTACCAGGTACAATGAGTTTCAAATCATGAGTCGCTATTGTAGCTGCATTCCTTTTCTCGCATATTCCATCGTGTAATCTTGTTTGCAGCTGAATAAATTTTTTGAAATTTTCCTCTGTGAAGCTTATATTTTTCACGATACACGCAGCTATATAAGGCCTGATACTTTTTACATGTTCTGTAATTTTTATCACTGGTGTGTCGTCCAATATTTTCAAGACTTTTAATTTATGCGTCAAGTTATCGATTACATTTTCATTTTCAGAGACTTTCTGACCCCTCTTTCCTTTCTTCGATGTATTATTTTCTGTCGTGGACAATTCATTTCTTGGGCAGTGCGACTTGACGTAATCCAGTATTTGCTTCATGGAGCATTGATTAATTAATTTTGTTAGCCTCCTATCTGACAATTTATTCTCTTGCAGATATACCTCCTTCAGTTTACTACAATCTGCTAATTCACTTGGTACAACTGCGTGTTACACAATTATGTATTATTTATCTTTGAATGTTTAATGATACTTAAAACTATTTAAGGACGTAATTCAACAAGGAACATACATATGGTATGGAAATAAAATTGTATTACCAGAAATTGAATTATCCGCTATATTTAAGATCTTCAATCCCTGCAGTCGGTTTATAGTAATTGGAATTTCCGTTATATAATTGCCATTAACGTGAATCTCGGACAAATGTATGAGTTCTGTATGACAAACGTCGGGAAAGGCCTTAAGCTGATTGTTTGATAGATCTAGGATGCTTAATTTCGTGCACAAAGTTAGCGACGGTATGTCTCGTAGACAATTCGAGGCAAGATTGATTGTGCTTAAATAGGGATGATCACCGAGTTCCCTCGGGAGAGAGGTCAACTTGTTCCTCGAGCAATCGAGCACCTTCAACTTGACCAGTTTAGCTATCGCACACGGTAAAGTGACGATCTCATTCGAGTGCAGCACCAAGGTCGTAAGATTTATCAGCTTCTCGATTTCATCTGGCACTTCCTGGAGACATGTATACGTTATACTGAGATAATTCAAATTGTGAAGGTTAAACAAGTTCTTATCCAGGCCGTGCGTGTTTTTGATCAGTTGGGACACCGACGTGCCCGATAGCACCAACTCGTGCCTGTTTTTCTCGGCCGCTTGTTTCACGGCCTCCCATGTCATTGTGACGATTCCTCTTGTTCACAATTTTATTCACTTTCGTACAACCGCGATGTAAACAGACAAGGAATGTTTCGAGGTTATTTAAATCTTGTAGATAGGTTGGCTCATGATGTAATGCGAGTTGATTTGCATCATCGGTCGGCTAAACTCGACTGAACTTAATCGATTAATCGAATCTCGTTCAAATTCAAACCTCGATTGTTCCTTCAATTTTTTCAAATATACAAATTCGAAGAATTCTGGCTGTCTAATGTCCATTTCTATCTTATATTCAATGGGTGCGTTCGAGAAGACGTTTTTCGCGCTATTTATCACAACAGCTACAAGCTATTCGCGGAGCTACAAATAGCGCTAACAAACACGATCTTGACGTCATTAATGGTAGTGTGTTACATCACAATGTAACACACTACCATGATATTATCAACGTTAGGCTGCGTTCCACTTAACGCTCACAACGCTCGTGGAATCATTTCACCCTCATCATTTATCAAATGTTAAACAAGGACAAACAATGGTTGCGAGCATTGCGAGCAAAATTAAATGGAACGCAGCCCTATATTTCTCCCAAGGTAGTCTATTGGTAACGTTTGCAAGCTCTGTGAACAACACTGTGTTATTATACGCGATCGAATGTTGTTTCAAGACCGTTAACCAGATTATAAACTTTCCCTGAACCATAAGTTCATAAGTTCTCTGTATACTCAAAAATTCAGATCGCGTTATTCACTGCAAGTACCGTCCTCTATAGCACAAAGTTGCACAAAAGTTGCAGCAGAGATTTTGCAACGATATTGCTATAAATTCTGTGCTAAGGTAGAGGGTATACGTAACGTGAATTTTAAATTTTCTCGTGAATATAATAAAATGCAATTTCAATTGTAATATCTATGATGATCTTGTCGCTAAGCAAAAATCGCTATTAACAAGGTATCTCCAACCTTTTACACATTTGATGAAATCAAATATGCAAATTAAACTCAACAGACACTTCGAAAAATTAAAGATGATACTTACAATAAGCAAGAATACATTTATTCCAACCTGGCAGCATCATAGAGAGATTGCATTCTGTCTTCTGTTATTCACTACGAAAATTTATGTTACGTATATCCAACGCGAAACTCTAAAAATTTAAATTATTAGAGAAAACAGTTTGATAGGTGATTGAGAATCCTCTACATTAATCTCGATGAATGTTAAACCTACCAACGCTACGTTAGGATCGTTTGGAGTTTGTTAATGCTATCATGTTATTAGCTCCACGTTTACATTTATGGCGCAAATAGTAGAGAGTAAGTTTGCAGTAACGTGAATCCAGATACGATGAAGTCATGTTATCCTTTTCTTAATTCGTTGTTAAGAAGAAGATAAGCGTTCTTTGTATCTGGATTCAACGTTATTGCAAAAACTTCCTCTTGTCTCCTAGAACGCAACCAATGTAACTTTAAATCTTAGTTTAATTTACTTTTTATCTTCGTCTAATTCTAAGAATTAAAAAAATACATAAAATAATAAATTAAACTGAAATTAAATTAGATAATTTACATTGATAGAAATGGGCATAAATTGTCTAATTAATTTATCAGGTAATACTATTTTATTAACATTGATGGATTCATTAATTTCTTTATTATTTACACGTGGGGAGAGAAATTCAATTTCATGACAATTTTGATGATCTAAGTTAATTAGTGATTAATTTAGCAATTAATTAACCATTAATTATTAATCAAATAATATGTACTAGTTTGTTAACGTGAGTAGAATTAAACTTTATTATTTAATAATACATAAAAAAAGAGATTACGATGAATTATACAGTTTAATGAATTATATAATTTATAGTTTTTATAAGTATTTTACAAATATTTTTTAACAAATATTTTATTGAACACTAATCACATAAAAGAAGTTCAAGATTGTATAAAAATATATTTTAATATATATTAATATTAATTAGAATATACTAAAATTATTTATATAATTTTGATTTAATTTTTGTCATGTAGATTTGTTTATACAATTTTAGTTTTATATTTTTGTCTTTCTCTCTCTAAATGTAATAAAAAACGCCAACCCCAAAAATACAGACCTGTATGTAAATGGTGTGCACGGACGGGATTGATTTATTTTCTTTTTAACCAAAAATTATCGTGTTGCTTGTATAATAGAAAGGGGGACCTAAATTCTAACATTTAGTTCTAGTACGCCATTTCAAACAGGTTTTAGATAACGCGCAACAGAATTTTCGTAATGCGGCTTTTAGCCTCTTGCTATCTGTACGCTAGTTAAACATTGCGATATTCATAGGTTCGCAATTGGTTGCTACCATTTGTAATCACTCGAATGATTATAAAAAGCGACAGTTTTGCCTACTATTCTTTGAGTGTGGAAAAACCCAACGGTGTCAACGTCTCTTTTCGCTGTATCCTATACAAAAATTTTACGAATGTTAGAAATCCCTTTTTTTTGAATCCCTAATCAAAATCTAATCGGATTTCTTAAAAAATTCTTGGGTTCTAGTTAAAAAAATTTATGAAGACTCATATCTGAGCATGCATGTATTTGAAATACTTTTATATAGAAAACAGTGTTTGTAAGATCAATTGTATTTCGTATTTTATAAGAGTATTAAAAGTTTGTAAAAGTATTTTGTATTTTGAATTTTAAATTGACAATCAATCTTATTTGAATTATAAAATACAAAAACTTTCGATTTTAAACACAAAATATGTAATATTTTTATGTGTTCCGCTAAAATACAAAATACAAAATATATTTGCACTGCAAATACTGTGTTTTAAATAAAACTATTTCAAATACAGGCTCTGTCCTGTGAAAATTGAGAAATAGAATGTTTTATAAATTTATAAACAGAAAGTTCAGACGAATCTCGAGAAAAAATGTTATATGGACATATTTTATATATAATTTTACGTAATTGTATATAAAACATGTCAATTTTTATATAATTATATATAATTGTAACATTTTTTCCCAGGATCCCATTCTCTACAACATTTTTATAATAATGTTCTTTTTGGGTTCATTTTACATTAGTGAATCATTTGAAATACTTTGCACATCTATGCTTCACAAGTAACTTTTTGTAAACATTTAAAATATCTCAAGCATTTTATTTAAGTTTTTTTTCTTAAATTAAATGAATTTTAAGTGTATTATAATGGTGAGTATAATATCGAAACGAATGACAAAAATGTTGTCCTTGGTTATTTAATCGCTGTCATACATCGAGGTTCTTCGATGACAAATGTTTGTCTGGCAAGATTTGCATGTGAATAACTTCGTGCCGGGATATTAATCCCGCCGTTCTATGTGCTAATAATGCCGTTCTCCTATTATGCAGACGTATACTTGACGCATCAAGTGGCAATGACCATTTAAACGGAATCTGAGCTTCCTCACTTCCGTGAAATTATCTCGCCCTTCTAAAATTGTTTATTTCTTATTCCTTGGTATATGCAAATAAAATATAGATACCCCGAGACACCAATCAAGATTTATTCTCTAAAATTGTTTTAACTCAATATCCAAAATTTTTATAAAAAATATAGAATATATTTTACAGAATGAATTTAGTTCATAAGATGATGTCTTTTAGAACACAAGATGTCGATGCGTAATAAGGTTTATTAATTCTAATGTCTTATACATTTCGATTCAGCTTCGGAATTCAGCTTCCTTTTTAATGCACATTAAACGAAATTCTTCATTGAGTTTCCTGATGCACTGTACAAATGTAATCGATATCTCATTGTTAACATAATTAGAAAAAATCAGTACTGACAAGAAATAATAATCTAATACATTAAAGTCGTGAACAACTATTAATTTGAAAAACTTACATGATATTTGTTAAGTTTATAAAATATACGTGTCATCTGTATGGACGTTACGATACATCTAAACAATGCTAAGCTAAAGTACAAATCACGAGTTAAAGCAAATAACAGAGATATTGAAGAGAGGAAAAACTCAGTTATTTTCAAATAAAAAGTCATATGCTTTATTTAATAAATCTGTGTCTGATACTTTAATGTATTAGATTATTATTTCTCGTCAAACTTATTTTTTTCTAATTATGTTAACAATGAGATATCGATTACATTTATACAGTGTATCAGGAAACTCAATAAGTTCAGTTAAGTACATTGAAAAGGATCCGAAGCTGGATCGAAACCTATGTATAAAACATTAGAACTAATAAATCTTATTACGCAGTAATCCTGTATTTGGCTCCAAAAGGCATCAATTTATAGATTAAAGATTCATTTGTAATGAGCCTATTTATAACTAATATTTGATTCATATTATATTTTACAGAATTTTCTTAAATGTTTAATTCTTAAGATGCTCGATTCTTAATTAAATACTTTTGAATTGATTACTAAGTATTTTAAAATTGAAATAATTGCACTTCTCGCATCAGCAAGAAAACATTTCCTCTCAATATCTCCTAAATTAGAATATTAACTTTTCTGGATTATAATATCAATAACGATTGATCCATATGTCATCGAAATTGCGAAAGAATTAAAAATTTGGCCTCCTCTAAAATAGCCAAGTCGGGAGAATTAATGATTCATAACAGCGGCCTCGAGATCTTGGTATCGCACCTTCGAGGTATCAGAGAGATACTAGGCGTAAATCTGAGGTTGCCATCACCCAAAGTCCACGGTTATCAACGGATGACCCCGATCATTTCCGGAATCACTTCCTACAGCGAGTACATCGTGCGGGTGGGGCACAGATTTTTTTGTGGCGTATATAAAAACGAGAACGACCCGAGTGGTTACGTATCATTCGCGCTTGTTGTCGCGTGACTGTAAAGGTATCTAAAAGTACCTAGACTTTGTATTCCGTGATTCTTCTTATTTGATCCGATTGAATGTCGATCATGCCGTGTGAACTATTAGTTACCCTCGTGTGGATGCTTCTTATCGTGACATCGTTGACGTTTGCGTGGCCGAGCTTTCGTCGGGACATCTTCGACAACGCCATAGACGGTCCTGGTGGATTGATTGCTCATCTGCAGAGTTTTGGCAGTTTACTCTACAGATATCCGAGCAATGAAACTGGATCGAAGGTAGCACAGTGGCGCGAGGATATGGATGTAAACCCGGAGGAGTTGGGCGAATACGTGGAAGGAGATATCCTATTTCCGTCGAACATCGGAAGAAATGGGCTTGCAGCAGTCTCTGCCCGGTGGCCCAATGGCATCATTCCCTTTATAATTAGCCCTTATTTCAGTGAGTAACTTCGAGAATCAGACACCCTATGCACGAGAGTTTCCTTTGCTTATTTTTTAGAAATTGCGCATTTTGCAGTATCTCATGTCAAAATCATAACATATTTATTATTACTAAGTTATTTTATTATTTCCTTTGATAATGTCGAGTACGAGATTGAAATCGAACATTCAGATAATTTCCTGAAAAAACTAACGCTAAAAACTAACGCCAGTTAATCTTTAGTACACAATTGGATCATTCGTGTCTTGTATAACATTTCTTTTCTTCGATTCGAAAGCTAAGAGTATCAAATAATTAATTATATACAATTTTTTCAAATACACAATCTTCAAATATTTTCTAAAGATGTTAAAGCATATGTGAGAATAACTTAATAATTTTCGTATATTTGTAATGAAAATTAATCTCGAACATGAATGACCCATCATGTATAGTTTAAAAATCGGAAAATCATTATGTATACTAAGTTAATTATATTGCATTATATTAAATCGATTCTTAATTAAATACTTTTGAATTGATTGATTATTAAGTATTTTATACTTAGTAATCAATCATAACTAACATAACTTATGATTTCTCACTCAACAATAATTATAATATATGACAGCTATATAAAAAAAATGTAATTAACGTTTTTCAAGAAACACTAAGTTAAAAGAAAGTCAAAGTGACTTATTTTGATCATTACTTTTTGATAACTCATTTAAAGTCAAAATGATGATTTTTTGTTACAAAATTTGACTGTTTACAAAATTTGACGTTAAGAATTAAAATAAAATCATTTTTATGTTTTTGTGATTTTCAAGAGTTAAATTGGTGTTTGCTGGTGTTGGGTTAAGTATTTAAATAGCTTTCTGAGCAATTCTTGAAAGCTCTCTCCTTTATCACTTAAGACCGCTATATTTTTGTCCTTTCATTCGTATCACAGACGCTCAGCAGCAGAAAGTTATATACGACGCAATGGACGACTATCACAAGTACACGTGCATCAGATTTAAGCCGTACACGGGAGAGGAAAGCGATTACGTCAGAATCACAGCCGGTAACACCGGATGCTGGAGCAGCGTGGGTAGGATCGGTGGCCGGCAGGACATAAACCTTCAGGTTCCCGGTTGCCTGACGCAGAAGGGCACGGTGATACATGAGCTGATGCACGCCGTTGGCTTTTTGCACGAACACAGCAGATACGAGCGGGACGATTACGTGGATATTTTGTGGGACAATATCTTGAACGGTGTGTACTCGTATCCCACTCACAAACAATAAAACTGTCTAAAAGAAAATATAATCATGAGATCTAACATTCTTTTGACATACTTTCTCGCGTCGCTTTGGTTTTTTATATCTTATCTATTATTTTTTAAAGCTAAAGAATCTTGAAAATTGATTGTTTCTGATGAATGAAACTAAATTGAAAATCGTTTTGTCTATTTATATTAATATTAATAGTATTTAATATTATTCAGTAATAACTGACAGAATAATTTAAATAATATGCTGTTTATTTGGCATTTTTTACTTATATATGATTTGTGAAATTTCTATCGTTCTTTATGGTAAGAACGTTTTAATGGACGTTTTAATGTCAGCAAGATGCCATTAAAACGTTACTTTATTGCTTGGATTATAGAATGAGAATTGCCTTATTATTAATATTTTCAATATTAAATATGAGCGATAAATATTCCTTGTATCTCAAAATTTTAAATTGACTTTTTATACACAACACGTTGCGACAGCAAAATGCTATTATTGGTTAAAAATTGTTCGTGACGCACTTTCAGTCAGTTTTCGAAAATTTGAATCTCATGACATTTTGCTGTCGCAATGTGCTACGCATAAAAAGTCAACTTTACAGTCATTGGTCTAATAACCAGCCGAGGTTATCTCTTCTGCATAAAATTTTATTTTTATGAAATTCTGTTTTTATCACGTGCGTTATGCATGTAGGTCACACGTACAATTTTAATAAGGCTCCCCCGGAGATCACCCATGCCTTTGGAGTCGGTTATGATTATGATAGCGTGATGCACTACTCATCGACAGCATTCTCCAAGAACTATCAATTAAAAACTATCGTACCCAAGGTAGGCAATTCTTATAAACATTGTCATATGTATTGTCTGTGTCAATGCTTTATCATTAATTATATTACATGAATAGTTTGATTGATGGACGGAGCTTATGCAGACAAGAGTTATTGAATTTGCCAGTTTAATAAAAAAGAAAATACATTTTGCGAGTTTGCGAATCATGAAAACTATGTTGTATTGTATATTATATACGTATCTATATGTTTCTATGTATCCGTAGAGACAATTGAACGGTGGAATATTGGATATTATTGGCGGAATATTCCAAGGAAATAGCGAGATAAAGCTCGGTCAGAGGCAGGGCTTCAGCAAGAAGGACATTCTGAAAATTAGGAGGATGTACAGATGCGGCAAACGTACTAGCATAATCAATGACTATCAGTACTGATGAATGAATACTGGTGATTTAGCAACGTTTTCGCACGTGTTAATAAAAAAAAATAAATGTTTGATTAGAGAATTAATTACCTAATAAGAATCTTTCCGTAAAAAAGAGCATCTAGTCTTATGTGCAAAGGATACGATTATTTTTTTTATAGACAATATGTGAACAATTAGTATAAACAGTATTATTATATGTTAATATAATTATAATCATATATCTTAATATTGATAATGAATGTGTACCTATCTTATAAGTTACATATTACAATATATAAATGCATCATCCTTTCTTACTGAATTTTTTAATCCTCCTTTGTTAATCAAATATTAATGGAATATTATTAAAATTTAAGAGCAATAGTAAAGAAAACATACTGAACATTATCGATTGATAAAGAAAAAAACTTTATGTAATTCATACTGATAAAATATATTCAAATAGATGAGCTATATAGCGATAAAATATTTATTATTGATATATTATTTTAAACGTATTTTTAGAGTATAATAACAAAATTATTTGCTAAATTTATTTTTGTAAAAGTATAGATAAATATAGCAAATACAGATAAAGAAATATATCGAATGATATATTTCTTTATCTGTATTTCAAATATTTATTAAAAGTTATACGAGGGTCGTTCGAAAAATTTTGAGCCTCAACATGAAAATAACATTATTCGTCAAAATCATTTTAGTACTACAATCGTATTACATTAAATTAGTATAAAGGCTATGTGAGTCAGTGGGCAAATTAAATTAAAATTATTACAAAAAACCTTGATCATACATAAATAAATTTATGTATGATTAAAATGTACGTTTCGATTCAATTTTGAACCATCAGCGTGAACCTTTCATGATAATATTAAGAACTAAATTATTATAATTTGATTTAATTTATTATTTTATTTGTATAAAGGCTTTTAGTCTTTATACTAATTTATTGTTTTAAATTTGAGGAGTTTATATATTAATATTTTAATTGTTACAATCGTACATGTTTTGCAAGATACTTGTAAAAATTGTAGCCATTTTAAATCGCTTTATTGTTTGTTAATTATTGTTTGAGAGTGTCAGTCGATATCAGTAAGTGCTTTCCATTTGATGATACAAGTCGACTCAAGTATTATTCTTTGTCACTCTCTGAATGTCAAGAAGGATAGAACGATGCTTATGTCGACTTGTGTCGACTTGAGTTGACTTGTGTCATCAAATAAAAAGCACTTAATGTTTTCGTTTAATGAAAATCAGTGTCCTCTGAGCATTTAAGCCTAGGAAACAGGAAAAAGTCGTTAGGGATCAGATCTGATGAATACGGTGGGTTAATTAATTTGAATCGCAATTTGTAAATTTTTGTTATGGTAATCGTCAATATTTGATTTGTTCAACAACTGAGCGTCCAAAATAGCTACAATTTTCACAGATTTCTTGCACATGTACGATTGTAATACCAGAAGGGTTTTTGATAAATATTTGAAATATAGATGAATATAGCAATCATTCAAGTGTTCATATTTATCTATATTTCTATAAATAAATCTAGCAAGAAATTTGAGATAATATCAAAGATAATAATATCATGAAGATATCATTTTTGGAGAAAAGATAATGTTAATGTCGTGTTCGACTTTTTAAATGTTTCAGATAATACAAACATAATTAAACGCATACTTATTTTATTCACTTGTAATAATAAACTTCTCTTGTTTAAAACATTATAATAAAAAGATATTAAAAATTTGCATTTATTTTATCATACATATAATTAACTCTTTGTTTTTATGTTAGAAACTGTTGTTGTACTTTCTGTTTACTATACAAATTTTTATTTTATAATATTATAATATTATAATTAAGAAGCTTCTCACGTTTGATGAAATATAAGACAAGTCTATGTAATATAAATGTTATAATATCAATAATATAATAAATATAAACAATAATATAATAAAATAATATCAATAATATCTAGAAAAAATTTCATTGACTCTTACCGTATCATTTTGAAGATTTAATTCTAAATGTATAGAATTTTACACTACAAGTTAAAGGTATAATCTTATTCTGTAGTTATTCTCTTTTAAATTAAGATAATTACGTATAAGAAAGCAATTTAAAAATCGTTATAATTATAAAGTAAACACTTAAGTTTGTTCCCGTAAAGTTTCATTTAAACTGACCGTATAGTTTACAAGAAATTTATATTTTTCAATGAAGAAAGCTAGAATATATGCGTATACATCAAATGGACGATGCGTATACATCGAATAAGCATCTTTCATTTTCATCATTTGAAAATATTTAGTAACATATAAAATTAACAATAATTATGTATGTATGACATAAGATATTGTTAATAATCTTTTTATTCCATTATTTTAATTATTTTATGTATTATTATGAATAAACTGTCTATTGAACTAGGAAGTAATGCGAGAATCTCCTTAATTTGATAAAAATGTAACTGTGAATTACACTCATCATAAATATCAAACATTTACAGATATTATATGTATATTCGTTGACAAAGATCTATCTACAAAAATCAAAATCGAATCAAATGTACAGTACTAACACGATAAGATCGTTTAATTGAATATTCATGTTAATCAAAGAAAGATCGTAAGCGTCAGTAAGTTTGTATCATAGCATCTTTAGTACGATATTTATTGGCTATCTGAAATTAGATAGGAGGGACAGAAAATTTTTGAGATAAAATATATAAAAAGGGAAACGATATAAATCTCTATTACCGCATTCGCTTTCGTCGTCATTATACAGTTAAATCAGTAACTTACTGATTTAATGTTAATCATGTCAGGTCTACCGTCAGCGTGGATGCTTGTCGTTCTTACAACATTTGTGTCGGCGGTTCCAATCTCTGACGTAGAAGATACCTTACAAGCCCTGATAATTCCGGACAACGAAACAGGAGTTAAAGTATCACAATGGACCGTAAATATGAACATAAATCCTGAAGAATTGGGCAACTATTTGGAAGGAGACATCATGATTGCAAAAAGCCTCACACGAAACGGTGTGAAAGATGAAAGTCTTCGTTGGTCTAATGGCGTTATTCCTTACGTAATCATGGGTAATTTCGGTAAGTATTTTGAAAATTCATGCTAACGATCAATTTGTTTATTCATCAATCCAATTATTCCATAATGTGTTAGAAATAATTATACGGGAGAGATCCAATTTAACAAGTATTAATCTTTTCAAATCATTTATCAATAAATAAAATATAAAATAAAAAGCATTGTATGCAATTGTAGTTCCATATGACTAAATTATGTACAATGTAGTCTTTTATGCATACAATATTTTATAAGAACATAAGTTATACAAAAATATTATATCTATTTTTTCATTTCAAATGTACAAAATGTATATATTATAAAATATATACATTTATAATATTTTTTAAAATAAGATAAAAAAAATTTTTTTTTATATTTGATAATTTAGCTTATATGTATATATTACATTTCAAAATAATACATTTCAAAATATCCAGGATTATAACATGTTGCAAGCATTAATTTATTTTCAGAATATCTATTATTCCCATTCTTAGCAATATATTAAAATAAAATAAGGTAATAATGTATTTATCATTATTAAATTATTTTATGATATTGCCAATGACAAAATATAAATAAAAATTTCAACGAAATTTTTAACAAAAATAATCTGGAAATGATAAACGTCTTTCTTTTTTTTCTTCTTACCATGTTCAAAATTATTTTATTATTTTTTTTATTTGATAAATTTTGTATCGCAGATTACGAACAGTTGAATCTTATACATGAAGCAATAAAAGAGTATGAAAAGTATACATGTATCCAGCTTAGACCGAGAACAGACGAAGAGGATTACGTCAAATTTGTTAGTTATAATACTGGATGCTGGAGCTACGTTGGCAAGATTGGTGGTGAACAATCAATAAACTTACAAATTCCTGGTTGTGTAACGAAAAAGGGTACTGTAATACATGAGATCATGCATGCTACTGGCTTTTGGCACGAGCATACTAGAGATGACCGAGATGATTACGTGACTATCAACTGGGATAATATTGAAGAATGTGCGTATATTCGTAATTTAACAATAAGAAATTTAAAATAAGAGATAACTTTCTTGAATAAATATTTCAAATTATTTAAAAAATTACATGTAATGTATTATTTTATTTATTGATATTTAATATTAACTAATTTTATAGTAGTATATCAAAATAATGTATGCCATCTTTCCAGTTGGAAAATTTTTTTTTGTATTTATTTACAGATTGATTCATGAAAATTTCTAGGAATTTTCTGTCGTTTAAGAATTATTGGGTTGTCCGGAAAGTTCGTGCCGATGTTGAAGGAAACGCAGATGATTTAAATTTTAGTATACATTTATTAAATTATATAGGTTAAATTATATAGACACGAACTTTCCGGACAATCCAATATTAATTGCTTACAATAAAATAATAAACAACTGTTTATATAAATATTATTACATGTAATTTATTCTAATGCTGTAATAATTAAATGAAAATATTCTGCATAGCTACATTATAAACTATTTTTATTTTGTGTATCTAGCAAGCACGCGTAATTTTGTCAAACTTTCTCCAAATATCATCCAAGATTACGACATCCCTTATGATTACAACAGCGTGATGCATTATTCAGCTTACGCATTTGCCAAAAACCCTATTATAAAAACTATCATTCCCAAAGTAAGTGATAATTATTTTTTTATAAATAATCTCTATAGAGTTTATTATTAGTTACATTATTAAACAGAAATAAATTCGAGAGATATCGATTTGCCAATTTAATATAGAAAAAAGGAAAACCTGTACATACTTGCAAATTACACGCTGCATCGAATTATATGTATCTATTGTGTGTTTATTTGTTAAAACAATCTTTGTAATGACATTAATGATTTTATTATTGAAATTTTCAGAATCCGTCAGCAAAAATCGGTCAGAGAGACAGACTTAGCGAATCAGACTATCAGAAAATTAACAAAATGTATAACTGCAATGTGTGTATAGTATAACTGCAAGTAAAATAAAAGCTTAATTGTTATATCAGAGATCCGTACTGATGAATAGATTATGGCTGCTGTCATGATAATGTGAATAAATAAGTGTGAATGAATAAGTATAATAAATAAGTACAAAAATTAAAACTGCGTTTTGTCCTTATTTGCGATTTTTTCCAAAACGAAGCAAAACCGAGCATATCTTAAAAGACTTTCTTTCTTAGTTCAATCTTCTACAGTCTACACACTTCTAAAGTTTTCACATTTAAATTTAGGATATCCTGTATAAGAACATATTATGGTTGATTTAATAGTTCTTTTTTCTATGCACATTTCTATTGTGTACATGAGGTGTGGATAATACACAATTATTATTTATATTGTTTATTTTTGCAATTTTATATATTACCATACAATTTAATTATTATCAATCATTTTATATAAAAAAAATTACATTTATCGATTAAAGATAAAAATTATATTTA